TAGGTTGACCTTCAGGGCAAGCAGTAAAAGCCACCTCTTTAATAGCACATATTCTAAAAAGGTAGTTAAGTGCCACTGTCTTCTGACAGCTGCTTGTTTTAATTAACAGCATTTCTTCTCCCTGTTTCTCCTGGGGCTTTAAAAAGCTCTTTGAAATGTATTTAGTATATTTTAGTCTTGGTGTGGGGTAGTCTCTCAATTTATAAGGTCATTTAATTCAACTTCAATAATTCAGCACAAATGGGCCAAATGAAACACTAAAAGAAGATTGGCACTTTCAATCACGTAAGTCTCATGTTACATAAAGTGAGCACATTCCTCCATTGTTCCTATTCACCTCTGACATAACAGTTTAGGGCTGGCACAAACCAGAGTGGGCGGGCTTCTCTGTTTAGCAGGCTCCCACAGGAGTAAAGCTTTGCAGCTTCGCCTCAATAGAAACAGAAGATAAGCAAATTTTTAAAATAATTTTAAAAAAAAGACCAGCTATCAGGATCATCTGCGGGATGACTTTGTCAGCGTAAGTCCAATACTAGAATTCCAGAGATGGCGCCAAGAGCAGGGTTTTTCCCTCTCTAAATCAACACTGGAAGTACCAAAAATCAAAGGCCAGCAGCTCCAGCCTCACATCCCCCCCACATAAAGTAGGAAGGAAAAGAGGACTCTGTCCCAGGTACGAGTAAAGGTTCATGGCATCTCACCACTTGTGGCAAGGCGCAAAAACCTGGGGGGCTCAGGCACCTGGGAGGGAGTGGGGTGTGCTCCCCCAGCAGCTCCCAGGGCGCTGAGGAGCATGTGGGTCCCCCGCATCTCCTGTGTGAGAGTTGAAGTGGCCGGTGGTCAGAGCTCTTACCTACCACAGCCTCGCAATCATAGGTGCTCACATATTAACAACCCACCAACCAACCCTTCCAAGTTATATGCCTTAACTCCAATTCCACTTTAACATAACACATTCCGCTCAATTAAAATTTGCACAATAATCAAAATGAATCAGTTTGCTCTTACTTTAAAGGCCCCCTGGGGCTTTTAACACAGTCCAGTAACAAAGGGTGTTCTATTTCCTTGGAGGACCAAGCCCCAAAGGTCCCAAGAAGTCCTATGAATACACACAGTGATTCAAACACACACCACTGGAGAGAAGGTATTTAAAATACGTTAGTCAACATCATCCTCTCTTCCCTCCCTTTGAAACCCCGTACCAGTTTACCTGGCCTTTCTTATTGCATTCTAGCTTATATAAAATATGTTACCTAAACTCTAGGGTTATTTATGTATATGCACCATCTCCCTTCAAGACTGTTAATTTTCCTGACAGCAGAATCTGCATCTAAGACACTTCGTTTTCCCGTACAGCATAGAACGGGCATAAAAATAACATAATAAACACTTATTAGTTGAATAAGCCCAGAAAATGTTAACAAGTGTCTTAATGTACAAAAGTCGCTGGGAAACTGAGAGGTAAAAAGATGCGTTCAAGGTGCTGAATTTAAAACATTTTAAAACGCCACATTTTAAAATGCTGAGTATTATACAATGCATGATTTTTTTTAAATCCTATATTAACTGCTATAGGGATTTAGAAAAGAACATAATCAGAAAATAAAACCAGGATAGAGATTGGTAGAGTGATCATAAACTACCTCCCTTCCCCAAACATAAACACAAGCCTGCACAAAGAAAATAATTAAGAACCTGGAGAACACTTGTTTATTATTAAAAAAAAAAAAAAATCTCTACTCAAATATGAAGGTATGGGAAGTTCAAAGCTTTTTTTTAAAAAAAACTTATTTTTGAGTGTTGTATATTGATATGCTTGTAGATAACCAGCCATAATCTATAGAACCAAGCTCATTTCCAAGGGGTTACATGGTACAGGAATCTCAGCCAACTTCTCCCCAGCCTATGTATCCCTCCAGGAATAAGAAACTCAAGAGTAATAGAAAGTCTTGCTATTCCTTTCTAAGTTTCTAAATTACGACTAGCACCAACTACTATACGAATCAACAATTACACAAACCTCTTGGTGGGGTGTGGGTTGGAGGAACATCCTTTGCTTAATTATTTAAAGAACCATGAAATAAAAGATGGATTACAAACATGGAAAGTAGGAAAAGAAGAACATCATCGTGAACACAGTGCCAAATTAGTGAGGTCTGAAGTTCCTAAGCGTTATGGATTGACTTGTGTCGTCCAAAAGAGATGTTGAAGTTCTAACCCCCGATACCTCAGCATGTGACCTTATGTGGAAACAGGGTCTTGACAGAGGTGACCAAGTTCAAATGAGGTCATTAGGGTGAGCCCTCATGCAATATGAAATGTCCTTATTAAAAGGGGGCATTTGGACATAGGGACGGACACACAGGGAGAACAAACACCATGTGAACATGAAGGCAGAGATCAGGGTGATGCTTCTAGAAGCCAGGAATGCCACAAATTGCCACATGCTGCAGTGGCCACGAGAGAGGCAGGCGGCAGATTCTCCCTCACAAAATCGACCCGGAAGGAACCAACTCTGCGCCAACACCTTGATATTAGACTTCTAGCCTGCAGAACTATAGCTGATACATTTCTATTGTTTAAGCCACCCAGTTGGCGATACTTCGTTTTGGCAGCCCTAGCAAATGAATACAATGAGGTTCACAGCAAAATCCAAAGTTGACGCATGTAAATCAACACATATATGTAAAATGCCCCCAAACCAAATATCAGTGAGATCTCTACAAATGCCAGGAAGCTTTACTGCAAGATAATGATAGCTGCTCTTGGAAAAAAGGGCTACAGATAATATTTAAAGATGGGGGCAGGGCTGCAGACATTTATGGGAGAGTGGTGAGAAGTACTGTAACAGGGATCCCAACACTTAGCGGGCTCTTCATATTATGTAGCACCAAACAAACGCAGCTCTCTAGTACTGCTGGGTGGCATGTAACTGTTGTTCTCTGGCCTGACCTTGTCACCTTGAAGCAAGCAAGCACAGACAACCTGTCACCTCTTAAAGAAGGTGCGTTGGCAATGGCTTTCATCTCCAGCTGGTGGAAATTAAATACTACATGTGACAGCAGGCTTGAAACTGCTTGAGAAATGGTGACAAAATACATTTCGACCTGCTGGAGTGAAAAGTATTAACTGCCCAGAACCATCCTTTTCAAAGATTTCTGGTACTTAAAAGGCAGTCTTTCTTTTATTCAGGCCTAGTAAATGGAGGATTTTTCAACCATCTCCAAGGCTGTGACATAAATCTTAAACACTTAATAGAGTTATTAACTTACATTTGGAAATCAGCTGAGCACATCTTTTGTGAGAAGCCATTTCAAAGTCATTGGTTTGTTTCTTTATAATAAAATAGTATGTTTGCTTCTGTTGGATTCAGAGCACATGTGAGAACCATCTGCAATATTCAACAAGGACCAAGTCTTTCCAAGGAAGGCCTTATACTGTGGAAGCAGTGTAGTGTAACGGTTAGGAAAAGAATGTCTGCAAACCGAATGTTGCCACCAACTACCTGTATGGACTTGGACAAGTGGCTACAACTCTCTAAGAACACAAATACCTGGCCAAAGGGAGATGATAATAATAAGACCTATTTCATAGAGTATTGTGAGGAGTAAATGAGACAATGATTACACCATATTATAAATAACATAACTGCTTAATCCAGCACATCTTCACATTATTAACATTAAGTGGACAAGTAATTTTTATACAGTAGAGTTGTAACTATTTTTCTTTAGGAAAAAATATAAAAGTTGAGACAACCCCTACTGAAACTAGCTCAACCATTTAGACCATTACCGTGGCATTCTATAATGCTCAAGTAACACAGTTAAGTCATTAACAGCCCTCTAGATTTTGATTTGTTTTGTTTTGTTTATTCCCTATCATGTTTACTTTTTATCCAAATTAAAAAACAAAGACCTTTTTTTCAAATATCTAAGATCTCAAAACTACTATTTTTGACTTATAGCATTTTGGCACTTCCTTACTTACATATCTTCCTTTCTTTATCAGGAATATTCCTTCATCTTAACTCATAAATCATAAACAAACTTATGTGGAAATACATTCCACAAAAGTCAAAGATTATCTAAATCAACACATAGTCAAAATTTCTACTTATGTGTTTAAAATTATACTTCAGAGAATTTTCTTCTACATCTTTTTTTTACCAGCTTGGAATTTCCTATATTTTATAATGACTTAAATGAGACAAAAACAGGGATAATTTACAAAATTATTTTTCAACATTATTTGGTAATGTGATTAAAGTAAAACAAGACTTGAGTCACCAGCAGTTCTTTCAGAAATAGCATTAAGTTTTCTACAAGCTACATGCCACCAAATACAGTAACTCTGTTCTCTTAATCAGTCAGGGAGTGGGAGGGAGCCTATCAGAAACACGTGTGGGTGAACTTTGTAAGGCTCCAAATCTGTGCCCTTACTCCGGGACAGCATGAGAGATGAGAACAAATGAGGGGAAAGTTGTTTCTATTTGTGAAAATATATGCAACATTGATGCCAAAACAGGCAGGTAGAAAAAAGAAAGAGTATGTAGTATTTTTAATTAAGTAACTTCTGAAAGATGGAGTAAAAGCTCATTTAAAAAGACATCAAGAATGGCCAACACCTTTAACTTTGTCAAATCAGTACTCTTACCATTAAGCAAATGCTAAACCGCCACAAGAAATTAATAATATCCTTTACCTGGAAACAAATTCTCATTCGAGGGTCCCAACACCAGTGAGAAAAAGAAAATGAAGTTGAGGGGAGGAGGCAGGACAGGAAAAATAAATTGGAGAAGTCTGCAAAGCTGTTTGCTAGCAGGGAAAGCCAATTCTACTGAGTTTTACACTTGTTAAAAGAAACACAATAACAACAACAGAAACCTGAGGAGGAAATTTGTTATATATTAAATGAAAATTATTTAAATATACTGTTACTTAGTATTAGGAGAACAGGTACATTTTACATGTCAAATATTCAAAAGCGAATGAACTTACTTGCTTTTCCCTTTGTATACTGTAGCATAAGATCCTTCCCCCAGTTTTTCCAGTTTTTCATATGAGTCAGCTTTTCCAAATTTAGGACTTGTTGGCTAAAAATGGAGCACAAGATAAACAAAACAGATTGTATCAAACTAATTAACAATAAATGACCCAATTTTGCTACACATATACAGATCCTCTGTCACTTTTTAAATAAATTTTTTCTGATACGACTGTTTATTTTAAAAAACAACATAGTAAATATTCAGGGTACAACACTCAGAAAACACAACGGAACACAGTGTATACGTTTAAATTTACCTGTAATCTAACCACCAAAAGGGAACCACTGTCAGTATTTTGATAGCCCTTCTTCCAGTGCTATTCCTTATCTTGATGATTGTTTACATAAATGGGGCTACACTATACATACTGTCCTGTAACCTGCTTTTTTTTTTCACTCAATAAGTTATGAATATTTTCCATGTTATTATATCATTTTCTAAATTAGAGGCTGGCAAATCCTGCCCACCATCTGTTTTTGTATATCTCGTAAGCTTAAAAAGGGTTTTACTTTTCTTAATGGGGGGGAAAGGTGAAAAGTAGAATAAAATGTCATAGCATGTGAAAATTATATGCAAATAAAATTTTAGTGTCCATAAAGTTTATTGGAACACCGTCAGATACATTCATTTACACACATAAAGTTTATTGGGACACAGTCATACATATTCATGTCTTACGACTTTCAAGCTACAACAGAGTTGTAGTTGTAACAAGAGATCACATGGCCAATAAGTTAAAAATATTTACTGTCTGAACCCTGTTGTAAATTATGACTGTACAGAATTCAGTCATACAAAGGTACTCCTCCAATATCTTTCAGTGATAATGCAAAAAGATAATCAAAGATGTACCATTCACATATCACTAATTAATACAAAAAGAAACTCACTTATGTCTACTACTAAGCCAATCCTTAAAGTTTAACTGCAACAAAATAACTCTTCCATAAGAAATGGTACATCCCATCATGACCATAAAAGTGCTAAGAGTGGATGATCGAATCACTCTTGCTGTGCTCAACACCCACCCCAATTTTCACCAGAGAGCAATAAAAGGAGAATGTTCTCTTCCATAGGAGCAAATTATCTATTATTTTAATGTCACTATAAAAGAGTAATACCAAAACATATTAGAAAATGATAATTACATAAGGAGTTAAAAGCATCTTAAATGGATTATCTGATCAGTTATAAATATACATATATGTGTACATATATAATTCATAAAAAGTTGCTAATGATTGTGGTACTTTGTAAGTAACCAACTTTAGAAGCTTAGGGAAAGAATTTCTTGCAGAAAGTTTATAGAACACTATTCTCAAGCATATGCTCTTGTACCACTAGTGAAAAAAAACAACAGACTGGCAATGAATCTGACTCCTACCATTTATAAGGATTCCACGTGGTAAATTGAGCACATGCTTCTTACGGAGCTCCCTCCCACCCAAAATGCCATGCAGTGACTGTAAAGATACTTTTCCTTAAAAATAATAAATCAGGGCCGGCCGAGTGGCGCGATGGTAAAGAGCTGGCTTGGGACGCCAGAGGGCCCCGGTTCGGATCCCACATATGAGGGCCAGTGACACTGCCCTCCACAGCTAAGATGCTGAACAACAGCTCAACCTGGAGCTGGGCTGCTGTGAGCCACCAGCGACGGCATAGGCTGCAGCCCCTGTGGCAGTGGGTTGCCATGGGCTACCGTGTGTAGCCAGCAGCCAGCGTGAGCGGCCAGCAGCCGCAGTGAGCGGCCGTCCAGAAGCTGGTGACTAGGGCCGGCCGAGTGGCTCAGTTGGTTAAGAGCTCGCTTAAGAGTTTGAGCTCTGAGCAACAGCGGTTCGAGTCCAGCCCGAGCTGAGCAGCCGCTGAGCTGCCAACAGGTAGCAGGATGGCTCAGCTTAAAAAAAAAAAAAAGAAGCTGGTGACTGATCTGCCTCGCCCGGGAGGAGCGCAGTGATGGTGCCAACTTGGGCCAGTGGGGCGGCGTCCTCCACAATTGGACTGAGGAACAAAAGGACAGCGGCTTGTCTGTTCCCCTTCCCCAGTTCCCCAGCGCTGTTCCCATCCCCCCAATTCCCCAATAAAAAATCTTTAAAAAAATAATAATAGTAATAATAAATCAGACACAGGCATGGAAAACAAAAGAAAAGAGTGCTAATATCTAATCAGAATCCTGAGGAATTCTGAAAGATAGAAAGTAATCAGGATCAAAATGTTAGAAGAAAGATTGGGGGAACCTCAAACTCCAACATGTAGGAGAAGATTATTACAGATAAAAGATGCAGGAGTCTCTAGGTAACTATGAAACTAATGGACACACCTAGGCACATGGTGTCCTCCCACGCAAACTGTAGGGGCATTTGCACAGAAGAGAGAGCTGAGACTGTGGGTATTCAGGTTAGAGGGGCAGAGCAAGGACTGAAGCAGCCAATACCTAGAGAAAACATGACATCCCCAATCCCAAGCAGTAATCTCTGCCCCCACATAGTCATCACAAACAATTTACAGAAAACACAATAAGGTGACAGCAATCCTCAAATACAAAAATGAGTATAAACCAAAAAACACAAATCATTTCAAGAAAATCAACAAGAGAAGCATAAAATTCAATAGGCAGATAAACTAAAACACTGGTAAAAGATTTTAAATTGCAAAGGTAATAAATAAAAATAAAATAAATAAAAATAAGAGTATCTTCAGAGATATTTGAGATATTATATCCTATAAAAGGAAACAATTAGAAATTTAGAGATTAAATGTTTAATCAGTGAAATAAAACACTTAATGGGCAGTGAATAAAAGAATAAACATATGTGAAAAAGTAGTAAGTTCAATGTTTGTACAAATTCTCCAAAGAAATTTCGGGGAAAATTGCATCTAAACAGAAAAATCGCCCAACAAGCAGTGTATTATTATACACAATGAAAAGTGAAAAAAAGACAATTCAGGAATATTTTCAAAATGAAAAGGGAAAACTATTTTGAGTCACTAATCCTATACTCAAGGTAGTTTCTTAAGTGGGATGGAAAAACTGCAATTTTACCACCATCATAAGAAAAAAAATCAGGATATGAAATTCCACATTAAATCAATATACGATGTAGTTCAAGTGATAGGAGAATTGCAGTAAGACAGGAACAATAGGATAGAAGAAATAAAGCATAATTGAGATTCACTTGATTGACTGCAGATACTGATTAAGTCCAAATGTGTAAGTTTTAATATGTTTCTTAACTTGTAAAGGGTAATCCCTAGAATAATATAAATAAGGTGTACAAATCCCAAACAAATTCTGGGCAGAGGAGAATGAAAGAAAAATTGTGGGGAAGAGAGTAAGAAGTGGGAGATTAGAGGAGGTGGAATATTAAATAAGAAAGTATGACAAGCAATAAGTCATATAATAAGAAGGAAGCTAAGTCTAAGCATATTAATGATTACAATAAACATAAATGAACAAACTTCCTCTATTAGTAGAAACTTCTCAGATTAGAACTAGAAAGGAGATCTAGCAATATGCTATTGAGAAGAAACAAAAATTAAAACAAAAGAGTAAATCTGAAAATAAAAAAGAAAATATAGCAAAAATAAGTATTTTTCCAAAATCCTGGGAAGACAAAATACACAAAACAACATATTAAATTAGTATATCCCATTAAAATGAACATTAAAATCCACCCAGAAATTTAAGAATCATGAACTAGTTTGAGCCACATAACATAGTCTTAAAAAGTATGAAACAATTGCTAATAGCAACAAAATGGGAAATTGTCAAGTCCACAGTGATAATGGGAGATATACATCACTCAGACATCAATAGAGCAAGTAGACAACTAATACGTAAGGGACACATGGGTTTGAATATTGCAATTAGCATTTTGATCTAATACACATATTAATATACATTCAAGTACATATTTAAGTCACAAAAAAATGACCATAAATTAGGCCACACAAAAAATCTCAATATTCAAAACCACAGAAACATTCCCAGTTATTTTGCATAAACACAATGCAATAAATCACAAATAAAGAATAAAAGAAAAACCATATCCAATATAATGAAGTACATAAACACTGTGCCTGTTTCCTTCCAAGAACAAATTAAAATGACAACTAAATTATAGATCAACCTGAAGAACCATCTGAAGTCTGGCTGAACAGAAGTTTTATAACTAAGGATATAAAGAAGCCATGTCAAAGCTGGTAGGAGGGATGGAGACGCAAAATGGGCCCCAAACCTCCATGTAGCAATTGAGAATCAGTAAGGATATCTCGGCTGCTGAAGTTCCCCACCCCACCGCCCCCCGCAAAGGAATGAGGGACTCCAGCCCCACAACAGACTCCCCAGCCCCAGTACTGGTGCCAGAAAAAGGAGTCCCCACAACATCCAGCTGTAAAAAACATTAGGGATTTCCACAATCCGGGTGGGACAGAAGGCTGCGGAAACCCGGGCACCATCTTAAACAGCCTGCACACAGATTCTCTTCCTCGAAAGCACTCACCTTGAGCTCTGGTGGACAGACAGTGACTCAGGGGGTATCAGAGACATATGGGGGGGCCAACTGAGTGGTGTGGCCTCAGGACAAAGGCTGGAGGACAGTTGGCATTTCCCTGTGTGGAATCCTCCTCACAGGCAGCCGGCAGGTGGGCACCATCTTTCCTGTGTTAAGCCCGCCCCCTATGGCCAAATCTGAATCTGATTGGTCTGGTGAGCTCTGCAGCTCTACCCTACTGACTCACTCGGACCCCACCCCACCCCACTCGCCCAACACCTGAGGCAGTTTCTCTCCAGCAGCCAGCACCACCCACATTGCATTCTTTCTTGGAAAACTATTGAAATCCGCAACACCTAAGCTGGCGGCAACTGGCCTTTGGTGTGCTCTGAGACTTGCTGAGAAGCTTCAGGCTCAGCACTGGCACCAAACCAGAATTTACATTAACCTGGAGACCATGACTTTTTCCACTCTAGTGACTCTATAAGAACCTGCCTCACCCAACTTGCATACCGCACAAGGCTTTATCAGTGGCTGAACCTTGAGGGAGCTGGC